AGCAGGAAGGGCTTCAATTGCTACCATGAGTCCAGGGAAGCTATTTTAGTTTACATCAGCTGAGGAGGTGTTTCTATATCTACAACCCTCCTTTTAGCCAGTTCTGCGATGAGGCCACTCTTAGCCTACAGAATTCCAGAGACCAGCAAAGGGAGAGGAGATGGTTTCCTTTCCTCCAGGAAAATCTCAGGTCCCTTGAAAATAATTTGTAAAGGTTTCCTTTGGAGACATGCATGCTCTGCTTATTAACCACTATGCCTTCAACAAATATGCAAAGCATTAATTCATCATGCCTCACAAACTAGCAAAAAGTGCCCTGCAGCAACTTAATGTATTTTGAGAGAATAAGAAAGTTGTTGATGGGTGTATTTATGCAGACTGCCTACATGGCAAATGTCTCCCTGGGTCTATGACATTCTGCTGATGGCTCCTCTATAGCTGACATTTAGCATGGCTGGGGGGTTACAGTGATATCTCACTGGGATGAACTTAAACTCCGGTAACCTGTGTAAATCTATCCTGAGTCTACTGCAATTATTGAGCCAAATCTACAGTTCACAAAAGGAATTTCAATACTGATTTCAATGTGGAGAGAATTTAGCTTTTTAACCCTTGGGGGTACTCCAAGGAATTAACAGCAGTGTCTCAGATCAAACCCTGTGCCAGAGGCATAACAAGCAGTTGCTGTACCCAGGGTAGCAGCAGCAGCCAGTCCTGATTCTAGTTACTCTGCTGCCCTGTCTCCATCCATTTGGGTCTAGAATGGGCTAGAGAAAGTCATAACATGTATGTGGGGATGTGCATTTTAATATCAGACTCTTTCTTCATGTTTATTTGCTCATATCCTAAAGCAGTGAGCAATAATAAATATAAATAAGTAACAGGAGCCTTCACTGCTGCAATTGATTTTACTTAATGCAAGGAATATTTAAAAAAAAAAAAAAGATGAACATGAGCCTGCAGTGCAATGCTGCAGCTAGTAAAGCAACCAAAACACTGGCTTGCATCTATAGATGCTTCACAAGCAAATCCCAGGACATCATTCTCCCCTTGTACTCGGCCTTGGTGAGGCCACAGCTGGAGTACTGTGTCCAGTTTTGGACTCCACAATTCAAAAAGGATGTGGAGAAGCTTGAGAGAGTGCAGAGGAGAGCCTCGTGCATGATCAGAGATCAGGAAAACAGACCTTACATTGACAGGCTGAGAGCCCTGGGGCTCTTTAGCCTGAAAAAGCGCAGGCTAAGGGATGATCTGATGGCCACCTATAAGTTTATCAGGGGTGACCACCAGTATCTGGGGGGACATTTGTTCACCAGAGCTACCTAAGGAATGACAAGGTCGAACGGTCATATACTACTGCAAGACTGTTTCAGGCTGGACGTAAGGAAGAATTTCTTTACTGTCCGAGCCCCCAAGGTCTGGAACAGCCTGCCACCGGAGGTGGTTCAAGCGCCTTCATTGAACACCTTCAAGAGAAAATTGGATGCTTATCTTCCTGGGATCCTATGACCCCAGCTGACTTCCTGCCCTTTGGGCAGGGGGCTGGACTCAATGATCTTCCGAGGTCCCTTCCAGCCCTGATGTCTATGAAATCTATGAAATCTATGAAAAAAAGCTCAATTTCAAAAGAAAAATAAATTCCCAATAAAATTATTTTTGTAACCCTGGGCCAGAACTAATCATGCTTCTTTGCAATGAAACCATCAGTACGATCTGCTCTGTGCACCTCTTGTCTTGGTCATTCTGCCATGTGACAAATTCATTCTATTTTATGAGGAAAAAGAAAACACTACCATGATCATCTAATGTTAAAGTTGATGTTCTGTAATCTGTTGTTAATGGGCCTCATTGTGCCAGCATAAAAAGTGAGTGTAAAATGGCAGGCTCCCTCACCAGCCCAGGAAGAATTCGCTGCCTCTCTCAGGACCCAACAGTAGCTCCTCCCATACTTCTTCCTTTCCATGCCTTTGTTGTCCCTTGTCTACCTGCCTATCCAATTTATTCTCTCAGCCCTTCGTAGGAAAAACCTGACCACTTTCCAGCTGGGTGTCATAATTGCACGGGTCTGGTTCGCCTTAGGTCCTCTGGCTGCTAAGGGGCAGGCCACACTGTTACAATCACTGTTTTGAATGCCCCCTTTGATATGAGATACAACAGTAATCTGCAGTCCAAAGCAATGAGAGTAATAAAGCTACCATCCTTGTACCAGAATAGAGGTATGTATAAAGTAAGAAAGTATATGTATTCCAGCAAGGCTGCAGAGAAGGAACTACAAAATATTGTTTACAATGTATTTTAGCTTTGGGGGGCGGACTTAAGAAAAATGCCACATTTTCTGCCAAACTTACCAGAAAATGCTCCACGCTGCAATTCCCTCAGGCAAAATCATCTCAGTCAGCTATTACTTTATGATTAAGGCTTTTAGTGTTTGTAATAACATAATGGATCTCTCATAAAATAGGTTGATATGCTTAAATCCAAATAGAAGTTCAAATATGAAATTCCTAACTCAGCTTTTACATGGTGTCCCTTCAAGCATAACTCCCATCTCCTTTCAACTAAGTAAAAAGTAAGTATGATCTAATTATGGACTTCAATATCTGCCCTGTGCTACTTCATTTGTATGGCATTGGTACAGATTTTCAAGCTTGATTCTGAGCTCAGGTGACAGTTATGAAGAGTAACTCCATTGAAATCATCTAGTATGAATGAGATCTAAATCAGGCCCTTAGTGTGACTGCATAGCCCTTCTTTCAACAGAGTTGAGGAGTGAGACAGAATATGTATTCTGCATTAAAACCTGCTCATCATAACATGAGAGAGGTTTATAGATTTTGAACCCAGTTTGACAGGCAAAGATCAGTGGGATCCACTTATGTGAATGGGGACCAGACAGTCAGACTTTTGCCACCTTCTTGCACCTTTTCATCCATTGCTTAATGACGTGTATAAGTTTTGAAATTCTTTGTTGGGTCACACAATAGCCCTGGCAAAGGAAGCCATATTGAAATTGCTTCCAGACCATAAAAAATATACTGTAAAAGTCCTACTTGCTTTACTATTCACCAGTGCTCTTTGGTCAGCCACTGCTTGGGCACAAAAGCAAAAGTTAAGTAAGGTTTTGTCTAGGTAGAGCAGCTGGCCTCAGACATATACCTGCTTATATGAACCATTAAAAATGTCTCTCTGGCATCACGAAGGTCCTCAGTCAGATAGACGCTGTTCCAGTATTTTAAAGTGTGGCCTGTGGTTGTTCTGTTATCCTGGGAGTGAGCTAATCAACCGCCAGTGATGGAATCTTGCAGACAAATGGGAATTCTTTACCGCAGCTGTTGTCATTCCATGACCGTAAAGCTGTATAGGAGCAAACACAAGGAGTCTCTTTCAGTGTTAACTGGAAGTGTGTCCACATGATGGAAGACAAAAGTCAAGTCTGCTTCGTCCAGCACTGAAGAAGACGTGACACATAGCATAGATAGAAAACAGTGAATTTCTTACCCAAAGAAATGAATTTCACCCCTGAATCATTAGTCCCAAAGGAAAGTCGTGTTAAAAGACTTCTTTGATACAGGTTTACAACTTTGACAATCTTGCAAGTTGCATGGATTTTCTGTGTATACAAAGGATCATGAGGGCAGGGTAGATAGCCATTACAGACAACCAGTAGTGCTCTAATGGCAGCTGTCTTACACTATTTCATGTATATCTGATACATGCAGAACAGGGTCAAGAGGGTGGGGTATGTTTTCACAGTAAAGCTCCTTGGTACCATCAAAAGCGGTATAGACATGCCCCCAGCATGCAGCATATTTACTTTATTGTTCCAAATATAAGTTGACCCCATATTTTCAGGGCCAATTTTAGAAAAACAGCTTTTCACTGAATATACATCAATAACTGTACATTACAACCTTGAACCTCTGCTGCCCTAACAACATCCCACAAGAGAATCAACAACCAAGGGAAGGTTAAATGCACAAAAAGACTAAAATAAGAACTGAACTGAAAGAAATTCTAAGTTGTTTTTATTATTGCATGAACAAAAATACTGCAAGGCTAGGGGCAGAAATTACACATAAACCGGTATAAGTGATTGGGAACCGGTTCAAATCAGTAACAGAACAGAAGTTCAGTGCACATAAGCCACTTTCAAAATGGCAGAAACTGGTTTAAGATAAACCTGGATGAATGTAGTATCAGACTTGACTGATTTAGGTTAAATTGGTTTATTTAACTTCTGTCCCAGATCGCCTCCAGATTCAAGTTAACTCGCAATCCCCCAGCATCCCAGAATGTTTTGTACCTCCCCCACAAACCTCCTCTTGCAGGTTACTCTTGGCCCAAGCTGTCTGCTCCAGTTGACCAGAAAGGCTTCTGGCCTGGTCCACAAGGCATGTGGCTGCATTTTCAGAATCAAAAGTGAATATCTGTTCACTTGCTTATTGGTTCAATCTACACAGCTCAGACCAACCTGCAAAGATTGAATCAATTCAGCCTTGGGCTTGTCAACTGTCTGTACTTAGCTCAAAAGTCAAAACCCAATTACAGGTTGATGCCACATATAAGTCAAGTGTGATTTTTTTTGGTTCTATCGGTGGGGGAGGGGGGGAGGTAGACATAATCAAAACAACACAGTATCAATTTTACTGTATTCGTTTGGAAGAAATATTTTAGCATTTCCTCATCTCGTGCTAACAAATGTTCAATGATAATACGGACTAACTGTTATAAGAGTGCAAAGTACTATTTTTCACTAATAAAATCCAGACCCTCTCCAGCAAAATATGGTCAAATATCACTGCAGACTAAATGACATTTGGAGGGAATCTGTGAGAATTCACAAACTATTCCAGAATCTGTATTTAAGTGGTGAAAACTGGAAAATTTGACCACTGAGCAAATTCAATCATTCCTAAGAAGTAAATAATGTCCCTCAAGCCCCATCCATCAGCGTATGGTGTTATAATAGAGTAGACAGAGAGAGAGAGAGAGAGGATTATAGAGCAGAGGGAGGGGGTGTTTGGTAGGGGAAGGTACTCCACTGAGCTCATTTGAGTAGACAGGAAGCCACAACAACAGAAAATATACAACCTCATCGGGCATAAATAAGATCAAATGGAATGATTCCCCCCTGCCAGCATCTTTTTTATGTATGGAAAAGGGTGAGCTGCATCTCACTAAATTTATTTTCATGCAAATAGAACCTAATATGTCCTTGCTGTGAGTAGTGAGCTACAACCTGCAAAGGGAACACACAGAACCTACCACTGTTATATCGGTACCAGATCTGCACACAATCTTCCTCTTCTGGAATAGAGTGGATCCCATCATCTGGCTGGTTGCCATCCCAGTAGTTATAATCATACAATGTGCCATCTGTCCATTCAAAATGCCCTTCCTATCAAAACAGCATGAAAAAGTTAGGATGAAAATGACTGCAATGATTGCAATGGTGTTTTTGTCTGATCATAGACTCCTGGATTTGAATTGTTCAATACTACTGTCTCCCTAGTAAAGCCTGGCATCAATTGAACCTCATCCTTCTGTCTCAGTGATAAACAACTCTTAGGCTCAGAGTGATAAAATAGTTTTTCACTTAGGCATGTTGCTTGAGATCCTAGAATCACTGCAAGTTAGAAAATGTAACTGGTAATGAAGGGGACACCATGTATTAATTCTGTCCCTAAAACAATAGCGCTCAGGAGGACAAAGAAAGGAAGTGGAGTATTTATACACTGCAGAGAGACAAGTTAGATTACAGCAAATATATTTAGGACACAGCATTGAAAATATATTCCCTTACTAAAGAGCATTAACATATCAAGTAGGGCTGTGCGAAATGGCACCCTTCCATTTCAAATTTGATTTCGACTTGAAACTGCCGTTATGTTTCGTTTCGTTGAAATAGTTTCACTGTTTTGACACTGTTTCAATGTTTCGCCCATAGGCTATAATGGGGAAGCTCGAAAAAGCCTATAACTTTGTCATTTCTGGCCTGATTTGGATGAAACTTGCAGGACTGGTAGCCCCTTGTAACAGGGAACCCTAGCCCTGTTACTAGAAAGCAGGCCTGCCCCTTTAAGGCCCAAACCCTCTGGGCCCAGAGTACTGGTGCAGAAGGGGTTAATAGCTGGGCCAGGCCAGGACTATAAGAACCCGAGACAGAACAGCAGTAGGGGGGTCAGCAGCTGAAGGGGAAGGAGTGCATCCCAGAGCTCCATGGAGCAGGCCTGGTGAGTGGTCAAGAAGGGACTATGGAAGCCCTGAGAGACAGCAGCTGCCCCAGAAGCCAATGGAGGGGAGCCAAAGCACAAACCCAGCGTAAATGTAAGATGATGGCATGATTACATGTTTGTTTTTATTGAGGGCAGTTATTGTACATGGATGGGACTGTCCATATTTCTTTTGGTTATTGAGGACTGGTGGTTTGGGCGAGGCTATTAGGGGATAGAGGAGGCCTCATTTTGGGGACCCACTACAGAGTGGGAACCCCAGCACCAGTGAGAGCGCAGTTTTGGGGGCACAGACCCCAGCACCAGTAAGGGCGCAGCTGTTGGGGGGGCATAGACCCCAGCGCCAGTGAGGGCACAACTTTGGGGGGACGCAAACCCCAATACAATCTTGAAAAGTCCAGGGAGGCCTAGTGCAACAGAGCACAGTTCTATTTTGTTTTTGTTTTTTTTGTTTGGACTGACAGGGGTGGGTTTGGGGTTGCACTCTGGTTGTGAACCTGTAATCCTCTGGTTGTGGGTCTGGCTCCCGTGCCTCTGGGCCACAAGCCTCCAGGCACTTGAAAGGAAAAAAAAAAGCTAGGGCCTCGGAGTCAATCCCTGTTTAGTGGGTTTGGATGGGGAGGCCTAGACAGAGAAAATGGGGGTCTTGCCATAACAGGAGAGACCCCAACACACCCAAAATAATAGGCAGTCTCCTGCTCTCATAAACAAAATTTTCCATCAAGACGTGGCAGGTGAGATTAGCGTGGGACCGATGAATTCCAAAGCAGGCTCCAAGGGTGCCCCATGTAAGACGCGGATACCCAGAAAGATGGCGCCGGGGAGGGTGACCTGTTACACCTCTCCTGAGGGTATGAAACCTACCATGTTTCAAGCAGATCAGTTCAGGGGGGTTGGGGAAACTGCACCTCAAAGTCTTGAAAGCAAAACTCATGTCACGTGTATGTGTTAAGCCACAGCGGGGTCAAAACTGCAAGCATGCTAGCAATGAAGCCTGCCAAGTTTCAAGGAGATAAGTGCAGAGGTTTGGGGGAAACTGCACCTCAAGCTGCGGAGAAGCAAAACTTGTGACATGGGTGACAGTGTGTGTGTTAAGGCGCAGCAGGGTGAAAGCTGCAGGGATGGTAGCCCCTGCTGAGGCCACGAAGCCTGCCAGCTGTCAAGAACAGAGGTGCAGGGGGAGTCTGCGTTCTGGGGCCCTACACCTGTAGCTGCTGACAGGCAAAACACGTGACATGGGTGTGTGATACTGTGTGTGTGTTAAGGTGCATCCTCACTCAACTGACACCAAGGCAGAAAGCAGGGAAGTTCAAACAATACTGCCTTTTATGCTGCTTTTCCATCCCACCCCCAGAGCACTGGGATTGGAAGAGACCTCAGGAAAGGATGACAGTCACTGGCCAGCTACACAGTCAATAATGAGAGCAGTCTTTCCCCTGCTTCCTACCCCTCTCCTTACTACAGTTTCTGTTTCCCTGCAAGCAAGCCCAGTTGAGCTTCAAAACTTGAAACATTTTGAAAATTTTGAAATGTTTCGACTTGCCTCATTTCATTTTGAGGCTGTTTCAAAGCTCTCTTTCATTTCAATTTCACTGTTTTGAGCTCGAAACAAGTCAAAACAGCATTGAAACGAAATGGCCGGCGAAATTTCCCACAGCCCTCATATCAAGCAGCTGCAAAAGCAAAATCAACATTCTTCATATTATAAAAATAATGAATTAAATGGAAGGATATGTTGCAAAAGAAAAACAGCCTGCAGATATGATAACATATTTGGGTCTTAAAAAAAAATTAAAATGCGTGTTTTAATTTCTGAACTGTTGATAAAATGACTGTGAAATTTAACTTGTGGGAGGACCACATGGCTCTGTGAGCTGTAGTTGCATGAGAGCTAGCCACAAGTCCAATCCAGGTTGGTAGTGATGAATGCTTATCATGATCCTCACCCAGGGCGGCGTGGCATTCTTAAGTGTATAAGCACCTGCACATGACTCAGAAAATAAACCCAAAGGGTGTGTCCAGACAAGCACACACATGCATTGTGCCAGGGACCAATAGCAGTGGCACATAGTTGTGCTGCTGCTACTTGTCCTGGGGAACGCTTGTGCACATGCACTCTGGTGCACAGCAAGTTGCCCCAGATGGGGTGGGGGAGGCTCCAGCCAGGACCTGGGCTGGCCCCAGCAGCCTTACCGAGTGTCCTGGGGAATTCCCAGGGCTCCAGTGGTGGCAATCAAGAGCACAGGGCCTGGCCAGCAACTGGAGCATGGCTCTAGCTGGCCAGGCTACAGTTTCAAGTGGCAAATGCTGCTACCACATGCGCCACTCCGCTTTTTTCAGGTGCAGGTTTTTTTTGACACCAGGATCTCCTGGTGTTAAAAAAACCTGCTGCGCTGCACATTAGCAGCATGGTGAATGCCTGCACGTGTGACAGCATAGATGGGTCTACGGAGCTATATACCGCATGTGTACACTAGCTTGGACGCACCCAAAGATTTCAAATAAGAATCCATACTGTATATATAAAAAAAAAAAAAATAAGAACATTCTGACCTATGGGCTTTCTGAGTTCTTTGCAACAGAGGAATTGTTCTTTTACTGCTTCCAAAGTTAAGAAAAAGGAAAAAGAAAAGATCTAGTATTTTCAAAAGAGTGCCTTGAGTCTAACAAGGTGCCTTGAGTCTTAAAAGTTTGAGAACCACTGGTCTAAGCCCATCTAGTGTTTGGTAGCCTCTGTGAGATGGTGGTTTTAGGCTTACCCATCATCTAAAGCTGGTCAAATTTGTCAGCTTCCAAAGGAAATAAAGCTGTTTCTTAAAACCAAAAGTTTTGTGAAAAGCTTCCTGTTTCTCTGGAATTTGGGGATTTGCATTAAAGTACAAACTCTCAACACTTCAATATTTTTCCTCATTCCTGACCTATCTCCCTTTTTCCTTTTTTTGCTGACAGCTATAGAAGAAGAAATGATAGCTAAGGGCTTTCCCTGTGTCTTTTTCAGCCACACTCAAGCTTTCAAAATTTCAACTATGCAAAAATAATGTAGTACAACAAGGAAAACTGAAATTCTGCAACTGTGCTACTATGTGAGTCTTCTTATGCTGCAGAGAAGGGCAACAGGGATAATTAGTGGTATGGGGGGCTTCCATATAAGAAGAGGCTAAAGAGGCTAGGCTTATTCAGTTGAGAAAAAAGATGCTGGAGGGGGGTGTGATAAGGATTTACAAAATACTAAATGAAAAGAGAAAGTAAATAGAGATTTATTATTTACTCTCTCTGACAATACAAGACCTAGGGGTCACAAAATGAAACTGGTGGGTAGCCAACTTCAAACTAACAAAGAAAAGGAAGTTATTTTTCACACAGTGTACAGTCCAAGTGTGGAACTCATTGCCACCAGATGTTGTGGAAACAGACAGTTTAGCCAGATTCAAAAAGAGATTGGACAAATTCTTGGAGGAAAGGGGCAGCAGTAGTTACTGAGCCACAGGAGTTAGGGAGTCAGCTTCTGAATTAGACCATCCTAGACCTTAAATGCTGGAGGCTGCAAGTGAGAGAGGTACAGCTGTGGGGTGGGGGGTGCTGGGCATACCTAGTTCACTCTCCCTTTCAGCATCTGCTCTCTGTCTCTGTGTGACACAGGAGACTCAGCAAGATGGACCTATGGTCTGACCCAGTAAAATGGCAATTCTTTTGTTCTTAAGTCCTAGAAGTTTCAAATAGGAGTGCCAGGGTTACAGAATTCCAGTTTTATTTTTGTTACTCTTCAACTTTAAAAAAAAAAATCTTCAAAATTTACAAGACGAGCATTTTAAAAACCAAGTAGGAAAAGAATAACTCTAGATAACATCTATTTTACTAAACTTGTGGGTAACCGTAAAAACAAAGGACATAAATGGGGAAAAAGGAGAAAAATAAATATTTGGAAAAAAATAAAAACAAAAAAAAAGTTCTGTTTCAAACTGTGGAAAATGGAAACAACATGGGAATTTCAAAATTTAGCATGACATTTGTCCTTCTGTGTTCCTTCTACTTTTACTGAGAGCAAACACTAACTGATTGTGGATACTGAGGAAGCCTTTAATCTTACCAAGTGTGAGCTGAAGCCCTGAGCAGTGGATAAGTTTGCTTTGCTCTGTCGTATACATATATAGAAAACTTTGCTTCCCCAGAACTGCTGGTTTTCAAAGTGTTACTGAACTCAGAGGAAGAAAAGATTTCAATATTTGGTAAGTGGGATTTGAGGAAAAAAGAAATATTACTTTGTCTTGGGTGCATTGCCTCAACTCCAGGAAGAACAGTTCTTTTATAGGGAAACCAGCATAGGAACAACTAGATAATATTTAATACTGTAGTAATTTCTCACCTGTCTTAGATCATTGAGTCCCATCCAGATATCAGTTGGTATCCCAGGCACACGGCTGTTTACCAGGTCATACACAAAGACATTCTCTTCCCAGCTGGTAAAGTAACATATTTAAAAGTGAGGAAGTTTGTATTAGTGAAATGAAGCAAAGACAATCCTAAATCATTTAATTTGGACCAAGACAGCTTGTCTTTCAACGACCCTTTGAAAGTATCCATGATCACGGTTGTCCTTCAGCTGTGTAAAAAGATGACTTATAATGGTGAAAATCAGAAAAATCCAAGGAAATGTGCCATGAAAATTAATTCAATTTTTGTCCTTCCTTAGAATCAAAAGAAAAAAAATTAAACTTTGAAAAGTTCAAAATTGTTTGGGCACAAATGACACAGCTCAGAGCAATCCTGGCCGGGTCACAAGTGGCTACAGGGCTCTGGGAGCAGGGCTCAGGGGATTGGGAGTGCAAGTGGTTTTCTCCTCAATCCTTCCAGTTATGGGTCATGGGCAGAAGAGGAAGAGATGAATCGAGGCAGTAAGCAGAAGACTGCAGCGCTAGTGCCACTGTGAAGGCTTCAGCTTCTAAGACCACAGTCTGCTCTTTGGCAAGAGAGGCAGTGGTCTGTTGGGAAGAGATGGCCTCTACCTCACTTCACTGGGAAAGAAGCTCTTCTCAGCCAGAATGATTGACTTGCTCGACTGGGCTTTAAACTAAGCTCACTGGGGGATTGGCGGACAACCACCAAAGCAAACTCACCAAGCATCAACCGCAAAACCAGCAGGTTAGGATGCTCAAGGGAACCCACTTCTACCCCAGCCCTGGAACAGAGATTCTCCATGAGTACAAGAAAGCCTAGGGTCTCCAATGGCACACTTAAGTGCCTGTACACTAATGCTAGGAGTTTGGGGAATAAACAGGAGGAATTGGTCCTTCTGCTAAACAGAAGCAACTATGATCTCATAGGGATCACAGAGACCTGGTGGGACTCCTCCTATGACTGGACTGCTGGTATAAATGTTTATACCCTGTACAGGAGAAATTGTTCTGAAAAAAGGGGTGGGGTGTAGCTCTCTATGTGAAGGAGAGCTATACCTCCCTACAAGCTGAGATTGGCACCCAAGGAGAATGACTGGAGACCCTTTGGGTTAGAATATGAGGGGAACGTAGTGAAGAGATACAATGGTAGGAGTCTACTACAGACCTCCAAACCAGGAACAAGAGCTTGACCGAGAATTCACCAGAGAACTGGCCGAGGCTACATGCTCTTGGTGCATGGTCATCATGGGAGACTTCAACTACCTGGACATCTCATGGGATGAGTACTTGGCCAGATCCAATCGGTCACAAAGCTTCCTTACATGCATGGATGAGCTCTACTTGTCCCAAGAAGTTTATGGGCCAACAAGAGGCAAGGCACTGCTGGACCTGGTACTGGCCAAAGGGAATGATCTAATCAGTGACCTAAGAATCAAAGGGAAGTTGGGTGACAGTGACCATAAGTTGACCACTTTCACTATCCATCACAAAGCTAGTAAGTCAGCCAGCAATGCAGTAGTCCTTGACTTTAGGAAAGCTGAATTTCTTAAGCTCAGGAGGATTGTTCTTGAGGCCCTGAGAAGCCATGATTTCACAGGGAGGGGAGTTCATGATAAGCGACTGCTCCTTAAGGAAGTGATCCTAGAAGCACAAGGGGAGTCGATCCCTACCTGTAGAAAAGGTGATAAAAGAGCTCAACAACCCCCTTGGCTCAACAGGGAACTCATGGACCTCCTATGTCTAACAAGAGAGACCTATAATGGATGGAGGACAGGAAATGCCACTAAGGAGGAGTATACTGCACTGGTCCGCATCTGCAGGGAGTGAGCTAGAAAAGCCAAGGCTGCAACTGAACTCCAATCTGGCTACACAAATCAAGGACAATAAAAGGTCCTTCTTCAGATATGTACAGAGTCGAAAGAAAAACAAGGGCAACATTGAAGCCCTGCTAAACCAGCTGAGGCAGTTGACTACCAACACCCAGGAAAAAGCCAATCTGCTTAATGATTACTTTCCATAGGTTTTTCACCAGCCCAAAGGGACCACCCTGCCTACCAGGATGCGGCGTGACTAGGTTGAAGACAAATATATGCCTACCATTGGTGTAGATCTTGTGAGGGAGCATCTTGAGAGGCTGGAACCCCCATAAATCAGCTGGTCCAGATAGGCTGCACCAAAGAGTGCTAAAGGAACTAGAAGACATTATAGCACAGGCACTGGCAAGGATATTTGAGAATGCATAGCACTCAGGCGAAGTACCTGAAGATTGGAAGAGGGCCAATGTGGTGCCCATCTTCAAAAAAGGGAGGAAAGAAGATCCGGGAAACTACAGGCCCATCAGCCTGACCTCGATCCCTGGGAAGATTTTGGAAAAAATTATCAAAGAAACCTTTCTTGACAGGCTAACAGAAGGCAGCATTCTAAGGGATAGCCAGCACGGGTTTGTTGCGGGTAGGTCTTACTTGACCAATCTCATTTCCTTCTATGACCGGGTGATGTATCACCTGGACAAGAGGGAAGAGGTTGATGTCATATATTTGGACTTTAAAGAAGTCTTTGACCTGGTGTCCCATGATGTCCTCATGGAAAAATCAGGCAATTGTGACCTCAACTACTTCACAGTCTGATGGCTGGGGAACTGGCTCCGAGGTTAGACACAGAAAGTGGTAGTTGATGAAACTGAATCAACATGGCACTCACTGACTAGTGGTGTCCCCCAAGACTCCATTCTCAGACCTGTACTCTCTAATGTCTTCATAAACGATCTTGACACTGGTGTCAAAAGCAGACTGGCCAAGTTCGCTGATGACACCAAACTTTGGGAAAGAGTCTCCACACTTGAGGATAATGACAAAAAGAGACTTGAGGGTCATGATTGACCACAAGATGAATATGAGCCACCAATGCAATATCACAGCTGGCAAAGTGAACAAATCTCTGGCTTGGATCTACTGATGCATCTTGAGCAAGACCCAGGATGTCATCCTCCATCTGTACTCGTCCTTGGTGAGGCCGCAGCTGGAATACTGCATCCAGTTTTGGGCTCTACAATTCAGGAAGGATGTAGAGAAGCTTGAGAGCGTTCAGAGGAGAGCCATGCACATGATCAGAGGGCAAGAGAATAGGCCTTATGCAGAGAGACTGAGCCATGGGACCCTTCAGCCTGGAGAAGCGCAGGCTCAGGGGTGACTTGGTGGCAGCCTGTAAGTACGCAAGGGGTGTGCATCAGGATCTGGGGGAATGTTTGTTCACCAAAGCACCCCAAGGGATGACAAGGTCCAACAGTCATAAACTCCTCCATGACTGTTTTAGGCTGAACATAAGGAAAAGCTTCTTTACTGTCTGAGCCCCCAAGGCCTGGAACAAACTCCCCCCAGAGGTGGTGCAAGCACCTACTCTGGACACTTTCAAGAAACATTTGGACGTTTACCTTGCTGGGATACTTTGACCCTAGCTGACTTCCTGCCACTTGAGCAGGAGGCTGGATCCAATGATCTTACAAGGTCCCTTCCAGCCTTAATGTCTATGAAAATCATGTGACTGGCTATGCTAACAACCACGGGCTGTGCTGCTGGAAGGCAGCTACCCCTGTGGTTTAGTCATTACTCATGAATACACTCCTTACTATGCAAGAAAAGGGCATATCATGAAATACATTTAAGCTTTTCAGTGAGCTAAACCATCCTAAAACACTTCTTAAACCATCAAGAATGGTGGAGACTTGGAAGGCAGACAAACCCTAGCAACAGAACATGGTAAGGTGAAAATCCATTCTTACAATAGGGTATTTTTTTCAAGGACTCTACACAAATATGACCACAAAATGGGTACTAGCATGCATTTGTGCACACAAAAATGTACATCTGCTTGTGAACTTCATGTAGTAGTTGTCATGTAACATATGCTCAAAAGGACAGGTTTGTATGCATATCTGTAGAGTCTGCTGGTAACTGGCTCTGTAGGTTAATATAAAACCTTAGTCAAATCCAAGGCAATAAATATTATTTCACTGTGCCCTATGGTATAGAGTATAAACTTATTTATGTTAATTTATCATGGATCATGGGCACATAAGTGCCTCTGTGCTTCATTAAGAGCAGCATGGATGAAGCAGCTTCAGATTTATCAGCTCTGCTACTCAAGATGATGGATAATCTCTGCTAGATGTCTGTGTAGTACAGCTGGGGAGTTCTGATTCTGTTCGGCAGAGAACAGAGGTACACATGCTCCCTAGCTAATTTGTTGCCACACAGATACACAGCATTTATTAAAGCAGTAAATTGAGCTTCAAGATGTCTGTTCTGTCCTATGAAGGTTAAAATCCTGCTGGGGAATTATTTTTCCTGCAGAAGACATAATTAAGTTGGACCTGGATAATGTCTTGGAAACACATTTCTATGATTCTTACCTGTGGATGGAAGCTAATTTGGCTGATTTTATACCAATGGAAAATTCAGCACAATACAGGTCAGCTTCAGCCCATGTTTTATTGATGGGAAAGTATCTGTAACAGTATCCTTCATATTCTGTCCAGAATAGTGGGCATGAATAGGACTGAATGGGCTCTGGCATAGCTGGGTAGAAAGAGAAGAGAAGTTGAAGTAAGTTTAATACATAACAGCTGCAGCAACTGTGTGAACAGGAATGGTGAGGAGCCTTCCTTTCAGGTCCTGTGTCAGTCTGTTGGTGTCACCAAAAAACCCAAAAAGTTTAAGGGCCAAGATTTTACTTGAGATTTTGGGTGCCTCCATTTTTGGTGGCACTTGTGAAAAATAGTGATTGAATTCTTATAGGGTAGAGACTAAGGATTTGCTGGAAGTCAAGCCTCTTCAGTTGTCTTGAGGTGGGCACCCAAAAAGCATTAACCACTTTCTAAAAATCTCTCCTTTCTTCTGTTGAAGACTGGCGCTCTCTTGGGCCACCAGCCAGTGAGCAGAGAGCAGGCTGGCTGAGAACATGCACCAGTAGGCCGCTATTGCTCCTCCTGCCCCTGCCTGTCGCTGGTCAACATCCTACACTGTCCACACACAAGACCTTATCTTCCCCTCTCTCCATGAGTGCTCCCTTATATGTGGCAGCTCAGCCAGCTCTTTGCATGAAGATGTAGAGTCAAGACCTCTCCTGCTGAGAGGACAGAGTCCAGGCAGGGCTGCGATCCTTCCAAGGATCAGTGCCAGGACATTCCTCCCAGTCCTACTGATGTCTCTGGGGGATGCCCCTGCTGGGAGATAATAGTTAAAGGCCTACAGAGGTGCAAACCTGGATTTCTTCCCTTTTTCTCTCTTTCCAGCAACATATCCCAGATTTTGTTTGGAGGAGGGGAGGACCTACCTAGAACTTCAGATGTTTCCAAAGTCTTTGGCGGGCATCCTACATTCAGATCCAAGCCCGGAGGCTTGGGGTTCAGATGCCTCCAAGTTTTGCTTGTCCTTGGCCATATGGCCACAGGAGCAAGCTAGGGAGGAGGCTCCCATTTCCATAAAGTGGGTTTAAAGCCCCAGAACTTCGGCAGGTACTAAACCATGTCAGAAGAGCAGTTATCCCCAGGCACACTTATGGAAAACTGCCTTCATGGACCCAGACACGCGGTGTTTCCCCTGCCAGGTAAGTATAAGGAACATGTCACACCTGCTCCTTACACACAACACCCTGACATGGACGTAATGCAGCTCCCATGGTGTGGGGCCAGGCACGTGACAAGAAGCTCCCACTCAGGAAAGATATGGCTGTTTCACTGTGGCAGTCCCTGGCATATACTTTTGAAAGTACAGACTAGCTTGGTGAAAAGAAATAACTGCCCAGCTCAGTCTATTACATTTCATTGCTTCTATAAAAGGTTGAATTAGTCGTAACACAAAGACACATTTGTTCCATCCAAATTAACCTACCAGAGCCT